CGCCACGCCGGGCCCGCCGCGAAGGGCGCCCGCGCGCCGCTGCCATGGAGACGGGGGCGAGGCCGCCGCAACGGCCGCCGCAACGGCAGCAACGGCCGCCGCAACGGCCGCTGCTGAGACGGGCTGGCTGGGGCCGGGGCGAGGCCGAGCTTGGGGGCGCGCTCCTGGACGTTGTCAGCCAGACCTGGTGTTCTTCAGCTGTGCGAATCTGATCATTTAATCCTCAAATTCTCTCACTTTCCTTGAAGATCTTTTTTTTCCCCTTTTTTTCTTTTTTTTTTCCTTTTTTCTCTCTCTCTTCTTGGTGTTATTCTTCTGAGCATCTCCACCAAATCTGTGTCTTTCTGGTGCTCCAAATAGGGCAAATAYGAAATCCAAAGTATCACCAGCTCTCAGTGAAGCATCAGCCTAACAGCCAACAAAACGTAACCAAACAACAACAAAAAAGACTTCCCACRTTTTACAGACAGTATTCCAGTTAACATATGCCAGAATAACCACTCCATTTTCTGCAGCAAAATGCACATTGCCGATTTACATTTTACTATTTATTTTACACCATTTATTTTGGTGATCCTCCGAGCTGCCTTTTTTCAGCACCTTGCAGGCAGTATTCCTCCAGGACGATTGCTGGCTTTAGCTTGCTGCTCTAGCTGCAGTGGCTTGTCATTTGGGGTACTAAATTCCGTTTGTAAAGTTCGGCGGGTTTCTATCCTTTATCAGCATCATTTTGTGGTCTTATCCTACCYTGCTACTCAGTAACATTCACAAGGGTTATACGCATATTCGGAGACCCTTGGCACTCTTGAGATAGGAAGGGACCTCTGGCTGTCCCATCTGTTCAGAGTGGGGCTAGCTTCAGTGTTAGATCAGGGTGGTGGTCGATCAAGTTCTGGGTATCTCCAAGCAAATACATTCCTTCTGACAAATTCTTAATTAAAACATTTGAGTAGAATTAAACTTGGGTTCTTGCATGTTACCTCACAGGAAATGATCTCCTGGATGGCAAGAAGCAGCATTGTTTCCTAACCTGTTACAAATCTTCTCCACGTGGACAAACTGCCAAGCTCAGGAGCTCAAGAGTGCTGGGTATGAGGCCTAGGGGCTTTGACAGCAGGGCTGGACCCTCAGAGCCCCATGTTTACAAGCTGGGAAATGCTCATGACAGGTCTGAGCTCTGCTCAGAGTCGATGACCGGCAGCATTTTTGTGCTCAGTACCAAAGTACAAGGCTCTGTTTCCTTTCTCTCGGTGCACTTTGCTCTCTTGCAGCCCCTGGGTAGTGCCTCCGTTAGATAAACTCCACACTGCCGTACTGCCCCCCATGTCTGATGATCCAAATGGAGCGCAGCCTGCTGCTGTCAGGCACTGATTGCTGTGCTTTTGCTGCTCAACATGCCAACATGGGCCATGCCAACAGCTTTTTAATGGTGTTTGCCATGGTCTCCCTCCTCTCCTTCCAGCTATCACTGGTTGACATACCAACAGTGATTTCTTCCCCTGTGCTACAGTGATCCCGTCTGAATTCACTCCCCAGCCATTAACCTACATAAGTGGGTTTTTTTCTGTCATATCAACAAGAAAAATAAATAAGCAGCAAGCATACTGGCTGTTTTCTTGCCTATATTTTGCAATGYTTTAAAGACTCCTTCAGTGACTCCTCAGAAGTGGTGCTGGAAGAAAAGTGATCACATGCTTTTCTTTCCAGTCCTGTGTCTTTCCTTTATGCCGAAGAGTGGGCAGAAAGAAGATATGTGTGCCTGCATGCGCGTGTGTTTTGTATGATCTTACAGCTGGAACATACRGCTCTATTGTCTTATTTCCAGATGAACAGTAATTTAGTGGGAGCAAAACAAATTTTGCATGGCAACCCAAATCATTAAAAGAGAATTTTCATTTGGGCTGCCTAAAAAACCCACACAAGTCTGAATATACTGATCATTAAGGAGGTAACCTGCTTACAAGATCCRATCACTGCAAATCTCCAGCAGCGACGTGACAGTATTTCCCCTGCACAGAGTCATTGTGGTCCTGCCAGAAAGCATTTGGCAAAAATAGGAAAAACAAGACATGGCATTCCTGCTGTTGCAGGAGCTACTTTGCATGAGTTATTCCTCRTTAAATAAATTCCTTCATGCTCCTGCATTTGCCTTAAAGAGTTAAAATGAAGGTTTGGCTTCCGTCTGCTTTTCGTATGTAGGTCACTTTTCTGGACTCTTGCCTAGCTCTTTAGTCAGAGCTGAGCAGGACCTGGAGGGGCTGAGCAGGGCTGAGCGGGACTGGCTGACAGCGAAGCCACAGCCTGGGATTAAGCCCTGGGTCTGACCTGACCGACTCCTGGSAGCCTTGGACACCGTCCGTGTCGTCCCTCTGTCACCGCTGCTCTACTCATGTGGCTCTGGTGTGGTGGAGGACTGGGAAAGTAAACTGAGGAAGTAAAACCCTTGCTCCCTTTGGACAAGTTTTCAGGCTCCTTCTTTGGCTTCTGCAACGTCCCCCACATCCAGGCACCGAGCACAAACAGCTGTCACCGCTACCCCCGGCTGGGCTCTCTTCTTTCTCRTGTTCTTGCATGACCTTTCCCTCTTTGATCAGCTTTCTTGTGCTACGCAACAGACCCAGAGACCACATCCATGGACCTAGGGAGCCCAACTTCTACTGGATAACGCCGTGTTTTGTAGCAAGTGCTACCCCACAATGCCACACGCCAGYCTGGCCAATTTTAACCTCATTTTCGCTTGGGCTGCTGTAGCTGCCGAGAACCCGCCTTTCAGTGCAGCCTCCTCGTGAGGCAGCCCGTTGCCCGCTTCCCCTGGGCGCTCCTGCAGCGCCTGCGGCGAGACCGCTCGTTGCCCCGCAGCGCTGCTCTCCCTGAGCCGGCACACCGCGAGCTGCCTCCCCGCAGCGCAACGAGCGCCAGGG